TGACCACTAGTACGATGGTGTTGATTAGAGTTGTTTACAATTCATGAAACTCAATCTGAAACACATCTATTACCCAAAGGAAAACATATCCTCCAGGTAAAGAAGTCGTGGCTCACTATTCGATTGCGCCTCTAGAATCGAACGGCTGGCTGGATCTTTATGATGGCAAAATATTATGTTACTGATCTACATTCACGAAATAGCCGTCACGTTAGATAGTTGGTTTCAAACAACGTTGGTAGGCTATTCCGCCACATCTGTGAGTTCTCAAACTAGCTCTTGCTGGCTAGGAATGATAGCGATCTAAATAAATCTTCATTTTGTGACTTTGTCCTTCATCGCGGCCGATTTGCTGCATTGGAATACACACGTTTGGTGTGAATGACAGGCTCACTTGAATCCCAGCTGGACCTCTAGTTTAAGGTGGTGTTTAATTGAATATGCTGTTCAGTAAACATTCGACAGATCGTAATATATTCTGATAAAACACAACTCGTAAGGTCGGCGAGTTCCTGACATCCTTGTGGGCAGTGTGTTTCGTCAAAAAATTTCCTGATATCACTTAGGGGACACTAAGGATGTCCTGATAGGATTCTATAGAAACCTCGATGAAAATCAAAGGCGTCTCGAAGTGAATGTAAGTAAGACGTGCAGCCATTGGACACCGTACGACGTCTATCAGGATTCTTTGCCAACTTCATGTGAAGACATGCAATCAAGAACACCGGACTTCTCAGCGTGAACAACCAAAAACAATTTGCTGCGAACGACCAGGCCGAAACCTGCAACACGCCTGCAGTCAGCTGCGATTGATTCATATTTACCGGATAGTTAAGGTACAATCGGCAAGCATGTCTAGATAAAAAGAATCTGGAAACAGCACACGAAAATGAATCAAACATGAATTTCTGTTCCCAGGTGGGTACAAATTAGGCGAGGGCGCTCAGCGTTCGTCAACCACTGTTCGCTCATGAACCTAACCAATAAATACCACTTTTAAAAAGTAAGCTGTGCGATCAGTACTGAGCTAGTAGTGCCAACTGTTGACGTGCAAGTAAGAAAGTGCATTGGAAGGCTTGGGTCCAATCATAATTTCCTGTGTTGTGACTAGATTTCTCGTGAAACTAGTGAAAACAAGAAAAAGAGTGCAGTGAAGTAAGGTCTTCCCTGCAAAGTGCATTGGTGCAGGACAAGTGGTTATAGAATACGGTATTAATACGGGGTATACAAAATTGTATGTTGGATACTGTTTCATAAATCAAATCTAAACACGAAACACTGAGCCCGAGTAATTCAGAGATTGTGGCTGTTTCAGAGACCGGTGATTCATACCCATATTTGGTTCTCCAATAGCTCTCAACAAGGTTCAGATAATCCGACAGCACCAGGACCTTCGTGCTTCCTTCGGGATGCACAGTTAAACGATTTTACCCGGGATTCTCTATATCGTAATCTGTAAGTGCCCGAGGAGCCCAGAGTTTTGGTGATGTTACAAAGCGGGATACAGGGGACAAACTCGCCTGGAATACCAAGTCGTTATTCAGGACACCAACATGCGTGTTTCGTTATCTACCAGACTGGCGATCCACCATTGAAATATAGTCTAAGGTAGGGGGTGACAAAATGCAACGCATAAGAAGGGACAAATACTGTATTTTGGGGTGCGATGCGGAAGCATCGGAGAACTGTCGGTAGGAAGCCAAGGTAAGGCAAAGACTTGTAGATGCCGTTTGGAGGAACAAAGGGCTGGAATGCGCAGCAGATGATCATTGCTTAAGTTGTCACCAAAGCACAAACAGACAGTTTTTAGTCGACTTGATGGCACGGTAAGTCATACTGGATGAATCAGCTAGTTTGTTGTGGCGATTGGTGTCGAATCGGTGAGCCGAGACTGCACCGCTGGTTCGCGGTCAGGCATTCACTTGTGACATAGCAAGTCGTACGACACAAAGCTTGCGATGCAATCAGAAACAACTAAAACGAGAGGGAATTACTTAAGCGGCCGTTCAAGTGAGTGTTATGGCGAACAATTTTCCCCCATAAAAGTGGATGATCAAAGGTGCTGAGCTAAGCGTATTTCTTAAATGGTGTTGACGAGTGTCACATAGTCGACTCACGCTAATTCACTTTTGAATGATGGTTGTATACATGAGTTCCCCTGTCACAAGCACAGGACTTCGCAGTAGTATACAGATAAACATTTCTAGGACACCATCTGCGCAATCTAGAATAGAAACTATTTCCAAGCGTCGTCAACGATCGTGAGGACATCATCCGCGCGCTGCTAGTGTCCCCAAGATTGGTGATGAAACGTTTGCAACCAAATTGCGGGGCTCAACGAACGGATCAACTGTCTTTCGGACGAGTTAATGCACCCAAGCTAACGATACCTCGATAAATTGCCCACCATGTAGTGACCCAATTTTCCAGACTTTCCGATCAGGGCGTGTTTGTAATCCAACCCGAAATTACACTGCGGTGATCTCCGGAGAAACTGCTCTTTGGAAGAGAGTCCATAGTTCACACTCACCCCCAGATTACCATCGGATTTCCTGCCTTAGGAGGGTTACCCCCAACTTCTCTAGAGTCCAAGAGTGAGGACCCGAAGAAAGGTCATCAATTCCGAGATCTAAGAAAACAGCCAAAAAATCAATTGGAGAGTCAGGTGTCAATATCAAACACTGTAAGCTTAGAAGGTAAACCAACGCGCTATGGCTTTTAAGTTCCTCAAAAGGTCGATGAACTAGGTGGAATTCGGAATAATGTAGTTACTAGTTGACAGCGTGAGGGATGGCATCTGGCTTGACTTCCTGTTCCTCAGTGCTACTCACTCAGCCCCTCGATTCGGACATCAAAAACGTTATAGTTATCCACCTTATAATATTATCCGTCTCACTGCTTTCATTGGAAGTCATGGGTACTAGCGGAGAAACAATACTCATACTAGCGATATCAGCTACTGACTTTAATTTGTAGCTCCAGACGCCTGTTTTCCAGATCAATGAAGGCAACTGTATCACCGGGAGCTACCGTACAACCTGGTTTAGAGCTGGTGACACAACAATCGAGGATTAAGGCTTTATCAGACTGGAAGGGAAAACGCTGGTGGAGACTTAGCGCGGGCAAGTCCAAGGTGCTTACACCTTCGAGCGGTAACGGGTACTACATAAGTCATATCGGCCTAGCACCATTTGCGAACCTCACCCAACGCAAACCAAGAGCTGGGCCACGTGCCATGCTCAATAGAATCTTCAGCCTCATGAAAGGACATTGCGAGCCAGGAAGATGGCAAAAGCCAGGGTGACTGTGTTCAATTGCATTTCGTTTTGCCACCGCACTGCTCCTCCTCCAAGATTTTTCTTCTTAGATGCTGGCTGAACACGTCCAGTGCATAGCCTAAACAACCTAGCCAAGTATGCGCTATCAGCCTCTCTAGCTAACATACACATGCTGCAGCTAGCTGAGCCCTGGTATATGCATTCCCGGATGGAAGCCATTCTGGGAGTAACTTGGATGATGATGCAAGAAATTGCGAGTTCCTATCAATAACCGACATGAACGTTGACTGAATACTAAGGATACCAATTTGAAGCTGGGTTTGAATGATGAATACGGTGACTGAGCCTTGGAAAACAAGCAAGATTTACACACACATGACGCTGACAAATGTTGTTCAGCCCGCCGAATGACTTAAGCAATATGATTTGATGCAACAGCCGAAGCTTACGTCTAAAATCAGGCACATTTCGCGTGAGCTGCACTACATAAGTTTCAGGAGACAAACCCAGTGAGAGGTTACTAAAAAATCAAGATTGGGAGCTCTCAATTTGTTGTGACGCATTTGTGGTGCATTGACGTTGGATCACGTACATCGCACTGGAAAAGAGTCCACCGTAAACCATCCTCGAGGGAATTGTGTTTGGTACATTGTGATGATAAGGTGACTTTGCAGTGAGCAAGCTATTGAGTTCTCTCATCTGTTCCTCTTTTCAACTAGAAATGGGGAGCTGTCTGCTAGCTAGTGTAAAGCTGAATCAAAGTAGCGCACCAGACATTACAAAAATGTCATCACCATATCGATGATGAATAAGAAGCATGGAGTGAATGCCTGGGGCGAACTATCTAATGAACTTTCAAGCCACGCTGATATAATCACTGTAATCAGGCACACAAAACAGACTATGAGTAGACACTTCTTTACGGAACGGCTCACGCATGTCTCCTAAATTTCGGAGGGAAAAGTGACACGAAGATTTGTTCATTTTGGGTAAAGGGAGCAAGAGACTAACCAGGTTGCGCAGGTTTGACAGTCAACATATACGGAAGGTGTTTGTACCCATGTGGTATTACGGTTTTCCACTGCATCGCCATTGCATACAATTCACGACCTCTACTTCTTTCTCGTTCGAGAAGGGAAACTTATATCAGAAAACCTAACCCTTTGTTCTCAAAAAGTGACACGTACACCTCCTGATTTTACTTGCCGATCAATCGGTGGCCAGTCTGGATTGTTTTTGAGAGGCTCTACGGGCCAAAGTAACCTTCAGTGGTAACCAATCACTTTCTTCCATATTGTTGCCTGTCTTCCCCCTGTTTTATGTTACATTTTAATGGTGTAATGTCAGTCGAGTCGCTAAGAAAAGAGTGACTTCACTATAATATACCTTGGTATACGCCATGTCAATAAAACAGGGATCCAAAGGAACTCGGTGATGAAGTTACCCAAGTACAACGCTACGCTTAACTCTGGTCAAGCCTTAACAGAGGGACTTATGTCTCTTTTACTATCAACATTGTGTTCCTTCTGTTCAACAGTACATAATACCTCGACGTTGACGCATAAAATTTTGCTTCCCCGAACCGTGAAATGCCCGTGTCAAGGAGTTCAATCTTTCAAAAATTCCACCAAGTGGGCCACCTTCCACATGACACCATTCCTATACCAGAATGTCGCTGACGAATGGCACTCCTACACTCTCCGAAAGAGGTTTTACCTCAGACGGATCCGAACAAGGAACTTTATTGCAATGGTCGTTTTACTTCTTCCGGCGCGTAAGTCCCTCGATTACTAAAAGCATGGCCGATGAAGAAGCATAAGAAGTCTGAGGCGAGGCGGAGAAGAAAATATAAAGTCCTCTGTCATTTGATGTGTCTCAATTTTTGCTGATAAAATTGTACGGACGTGTAAAAGTTATGCCACAACTCGAGAAAATTGGAAGCATTCGCAAAATCGGTTGGTTCATCCTGCTTGTTCTTTGTCTTGTACCGCTGGAACAGAGAGGACTGTGGACTCCATTTTCCGAGCAGCAACCTCGACCCCTGATTCCTGCGGTTGTTTTCTATAGGTCGCTGCCACGTACATGGCGGAGGCGACCGCACTGAAATCGATAAGAAAAGTACGAATAAGCTGTTGTTAGGGGTCCGACCTGATATGACAGGGCTTAATCAAGCTTCCGATGAGTGGTGTATTTGAGGGAGAGTCCGTGCAACCCGGCAGAGTTGCACATTTTATTCCCATTTATCCGAGGGACTAACTATAACCGGGTCTCGTAGATGGACCGTAACCGAAGGAAGCAAGGGGGTAAAACTATAGAAACAGTCAGTGCTTGAAAATGACAGATTACGAATTGGAAAACAATTCTATACCACTATGATTTCATTATCTGTACATACGTAACAGCTGATTTATCGGAGTGAGCGTTCCGATTGATCAGTGCGTCTGATTACTGAGGTGAACTCTGTACACCTAGTCCAAGAATAGTGCGCATTTGCACGACTGGGACCGGCTTGAATACTGTCTAAATGCTTCTTCTGAAAACAACTTTGACCAGCTAACATGAAATGAGGCAGAAAATGGTTTCAGTGTCGTAAGACAAACCAACCTTCACTATGGAGAAACACGCGCGAACTGTTTGTCTTCGTGTAGATTTGATGCGGTAGTCTGCAATATTGTGGCATGGAGGTTAAGGAAGCCATTTGAACATTTCAGAAAGCGTTAATATTCGCGTGGATAATTCAGGGACGCGCAAACAATCCGTATCTGCTACTGAAGTTTTGGACGTGAACACGAGCCACAGAAAAATGTGCATAGTGACAGTCTGTCGACAGAGAACAACCAAGGGTACTACAACCCAAGCGCTACCAGACTGTGCAAGGCAGGAACGAGGAAACTTATCCTGTTCTGCACGTTGACGTCGATGGCTTTTCGGACTACACCAAGCTTCAAATTTGTTCGTGCTGTTAGCACACGTTAACCGTAAGGATTACAGCGGACTGCAGCGTACATAAGTGAGAGATACGGTGGATATCTCTTATCGTCTATATCCTCCCGTCCGCCTTGTTATACTAATATGGCGTTGCTTCATTGCCCCTTCAGACCACCATAAAAATATTGTTGGGTGGATGTGTGATACCGGAGGACAGCAGCATGTGCCTGATTGATTGTGCAACAAAATGTATGCACGAGAATCCCTAGGTTATGGTTGATCATCTTAGGGGCGAGCATTCCCAGTCAGACGGCTTGTGCCTGTCCAACTTCATCCGACTGGTTGGTGCTCTGCTCAGTTGCGAACAGGCAATGAAATAAGGGTTTTCACTTGGACAGCTGAATACACCTTGTTATACTAATATGGCGTTGCTTCATTGCCCCTTCAGACCACCATAAAAATATTGTTGGGTGGATGTGTGATACCGGAGGACAGCAGCATGTGCCTGATTGATTGTGCAACAAAATGTATGCACGAGAATCCCTAGGTTATGGTTGATCATCTTAGGGGCGAGCATTCCCAGTCAGACGGCTTGTGCCTGTCCAACTTCATCCGACTGGTTGGTGCTCTGCTCAGTTGCGAACAGGCAATGAAATAAGGGTTTTCACTTGGACAGCTGAATACACATCGAACGATGCAGTGCGATCAACCCACCTACTAGTCACTTAGCCATTGTTCCGTGTCCAAACTATCGCCAAGAAAAATTAATCAACCTCAAAAGATCTGATGCACGCTGTCCGCACTGAATGTCAAATTGGATGACAGGCATCTGTTGCTGAAGCCTTGTTTCACTCTCTGTCGATGAATATTGTGTCTATGAGAGACGCACAGAAGACCTCACTCCAGTCGTGCGCCTCAAGTCACCCAAGACAAGCTCAGATGCTCCATATCTCACTCTTTGAGTATCTGGCGATCCTGGCGCAATGGTTCGTGGTATTTCTGGTTTGGGAGCCGCATTCAGTTTCAAGGCTGAATGTGCTTTACTGGACTAGACTCCAGCAAACGGTCATCTTTGCGCTATGCGACTGTTTGGCCCAATCAGGATCCATGTGGGCCGACGTGGTAAACGGCGTTTATTTGTCCTATCAGCATACGCCCAGACAGACTGCAATTCTGACTGTGAGAGGAAAGCGTTTTATGGAGACGCTGCGCCATCATTTGTAGACGTTTGAAGAGAGTGGGATACAATCATTGGGAAAAACGGCACTCGAACCGAATGTAATGCGTGCCTCACTGACAGTTTTCCGTTAAAGATTTTCAGCAACAATCCAGGCATATATGCTGCAAATTTAATAAGCTTCTATCTGCAATACTCTTTCAGTACAAAGCTTCCAAGAAGGATAGCTGAATTACTGCCAGATAGCTCAAGCTTTGAGAGACCACGATGGAGAAGTCAGATTTGAATCACAGATATTCGGGTAGGTACTCTTTCAGTACAAAGCTTCCAAGAAGGAGAGCTGAATTACCGCCAGATAGCTCAAGCTTTGAGAGGCCACGATGGAGAGGTCAGATTTGAACCACAGACATTCGGGTAGGTAAGTTTGCGCCTTAACCACTTGACAATCCTGACAAACGAAATTTATCACACTACACGTCCGTAATATCTCAAAACCACACTCAGTAACACAAGTAAAATATCGAAAGAGCACAACCTGAGCCCAAACAGGAACAATCGGGATGCTGCGGATGGGTTCGAACCACGGATCTTCTGCTCAGTAGTTTTGCGCATTAACGCTCAACAATCTCGAGCTCTGTACGTTCACACATAAATCAAAAGGAAGTGAAAAACAACATTCGTTGACGACATCTGACCCGACAGCGTTGTCATTGCAGTGTCATTTTTCGGAACTGCAGCAACACCAGGTCGTTCCGCTGGATAACTCAAAACGGCGTTCGCAATGGTGAGAATAACATCAACACTGCGAAGTTATTGCGGCATACAATAAACACAGTTCGGGACGGGCGCTCAAAGATAACAAAAGGGACTTTGAGGCAAGTAGTTGTAAAAAAAAGTCACTTGTGAAGATGTTCCGTCGGATTTGCAGTTCTGAGGAGTGACGACGTTGACGTGGGGGGCTTCCAGCATACGGTTACGCGACTGAACAAGATGTAGTATATCCCAAATTATAATTAGATACAGGTGAGGGCAAGATCTTCCAGGGAAAAAGGTGAAATTGAGGTGACCGAAGATACAGAGCAAATCAATACACTGCAAAGATTATATTTATCCTACATTTGAGGATCATTTAGCACTGCATCCTAGACTCCCAAGGCGATTTGAAATTGTGTTTTGAAATGAATTGGACGCTCATCTTGCGTCATAAAAGCAAATCGTTCTTTTAGTTCTCTGGAAGGGATGTGATTGATTCTCAGCAGAATTTCTTGAAACGCCTGAACTGTTTTGTCACCGTGAAAGTTCCAAGTGGGGAAATCAATGCCCATCATGTTAATACAAAACTGTACAACGGGGTGCTGAGTATTATGGAATAGATTACACCGAAGATAACTTGAGCAGGATGCAAACACAATGGCTTGATCAGTCCTTGTTGATCACGTAAAATCACTACTCTACCCAACATAAGGACTGCGCTTCATTCAGGCCATATCGTAGAGCATTTTCTAGGTGACCTTCAGGCACTGACTCAGTGGAACACAGGTGTGAAGAACTCAGATTGGGACAAGTGAGCGAAAATCTGGGGTGGTCAAGTTGTCGTCATAATCGGTCGGCACAAAAGACATATTGATAAATGTGTACTGTCTTTTGAAGATCGTGCGGAATAATGCAAGCTCAGAGAAGCGTATCTGAGATACACTCATTCTTTCTGTCTACCATGTACCACACAACAAAGAACATGACAACAGCTGTACATCAAAATCTGAAGCAGATTCCCAAAGCAATCCGAGGCATGGAAAAAAGCTCCCATGAAGATCTGCTGCCAAAAAGCCACTGCCTTCGTAGACACAACTATGCTACAGTTAGGCATCTTCGAGGGAGATGGTATTTGAACTCCACACAACGTATCAAAATAGAAGGGAAGAGAAGAGAGATTAGTCTGCCGTACTAAAACTAGAGTTGGTGAACTGAGACGGGAGCTTGCCCAGGCAGCTAGGATATAATCCCGACGGTGAACAAAGTCAGAGTTATTTCCGAAAAAGTTTGGTGACAATCGGTAGATTTATTGCTGAGCAACGTTTCGCTTTTGACACAAAAGCTTCGTCAGGCCAAGTGACTAGGTTCCGAGGTTGATCGAGATTTAAGGCGGAAGGAGAACCAATCAGCTAAGTCAAGCTAAATCTCTGTTGGGTGTC